TAAATCAACAAAAAAGGAAAAAAAAAAAAAAAAAAACTCCATAGGATATGCATTAGCATATATATACAATAGAAAATTGAAAACTGACCTGAAAAAAAACCTTTTGGTTATCTTTAAAATCATAGTCAAGTTCAAAACAATGAAAAATATATCCACATTACACTTCATTTTCATCTTAATCTATCTGCAAAAAATAACTAGAACACTTCTAGTGCGCCTCCTCTAGAGACAAAGAGCTTGAATATTTCGATTTTATGAGAAAAGATAGAGAGGAGAAATGATGGACCTTTTAAACTCGCTTTTTGCGTATGGCCTTGATCTTATAGTACCCATTAGCAAGCTTCAAGTGCTCGGCCTAAACCCCAACCTCAGGTCAGTCTAGGAGTCTTCATCTTTGTTGGTTCAAGTAGCTCCTTCACACGGTGGGTGAGGTTTTCTCCCTTCAAGAACACTGGAGTTGAAATAAAAATCAGGAACGAAGGTTTCTTGGAGTTTTCTAATTCAGGGACTTCCTCTTTCTGATTTGGGCTTTTCTATAGTTTGAGGTTTGGCACGTAATAAATACAGTGATTATAATCTTATTTAATTTGAAGAGTATTAAAAAAAAAGGAAAAATTTTAGGGCTGTGGGCCTAATTTTGCCATAAAAGAAATTCTAAACCCAATTAAAATAGCCCGACTAAGTTTATGGCCAGTCCATTGACCTATAACAACCAATTAATAATGAGGAAATTAGGCTGCGTACCCTATAAAAAAAGGGATTTTGGTTTATACCTTTTAAACTAATTAAACATTTTTAATACAATAATATTTACGGTCTAATTATGTACTAAACATCTACCCTTAAACAAACTTGACAGAAACCACTCCTCTCATTCCTAGAAACGCTTTGTCGATTTCATCTCTTACTCTCCTCCCATTTCACAAAAAAGTGACTCCAGATCTTTGTTTCTTATGAATTTTTGTCTATTTCGTTTCTGTATTTCTCAATGCACGTTCAATTTCAGTCATTCTGATCCTCATTTTGTGGAGATCTTAAATGCCAACCCTAAAAATCCCAAATAGTCGAAACCCTAACTCGTTCCGATCAAAATTCAGTAATCTGAGTCCAATTTTGACTTATTCACTTCGACGTCGACTTTGATACGAAAATTCGACTCTTATTCCTGTAATGGCTGGAGAAAGTAAGTTGAAGAGGAAAAGAGATATTGATGAAGAACTATCTTCGAAGAAGAAGAAATCTTATAAATCCAAGGTAGCATTAATTTTTTCAGTTTCCGCTCTTATGTGTACGTTTTATTCTTTGTTCCTTTCCGATTTTGATATTTGACTAGTTTTGATGTTTAATATGTGATTTTTTTAGTTTTGTTCCATGCCTTTTGTTTCGTATAAAATGAAATATGTATACAACATTCCAAAACACTGCACGAACCAAAGTTTTATAGAATTTAGAAGCATTATTTTGTGGTCCTTGATTTTGTTTCTAAGATAAAATGGGGAATTATATTGAATAGTTCATATAGGATTTTGGGATTATTGGATTGTTGAGATTAGAGTGGGCATGGGCAGATTATGGGAGACAACATAAAATTGGTGGGTCTGGAAGTTGTGGTGGACATTGTGAAGTGTGTATGATACAGTTGTCTAATAATGTAGTGGGTCATGTGATTGTATGATGATGACAGAGTACAACCTTTGTTCTTAAGTTCTGGGAATTTCAATAAATGTTAGTATATTGATATAACTTTCTCATCATAATGACATTCATGTATTTACCGTGGAGTCTCGTTGCTGTGTTTTGATGATGAAACATCTTTGTGGTGATTTTGTCACTTTTTTTGGTTTAATGTCACCCTTTTTGGACTTTATGCCACATTTTTTATAGTTTGTGTCACTAGTTTAGCACTATATTCGAAGGATCGTTGATTGCTCAAGATTGCTTAGCTATTTGTTCATAGTAAGACAGGTTAGCTACTAATGGTTTTTCTTTATATTCAATAGAGAATATGTTGTTAGAATTATAAATGTAGTTATATTGATGACTTTTGAAAGTATAAATAAAGTTTGGATGGAAAATACGGGTGTATATAGTTAGATATAATGACCTTATATAGTTTGTCATACGTTTGTATTGCTATGAAAGAATATAGAGGCTAGTTCTAAACAAATGTTTCATAAAGAAAGTATATTTGGTTAAGTTATTCATAAATTCCTAAAGTTGTCATTGCTATAATACAGTCTTCCCTCAATACAAGTGTTGCAATTGTTGGTTTAACTATATTATCAATTCTAAATAAGTGCAACACTATGACTTACTGCCTTTGGCTACAATTATGTTCATTTATTTGTTTAAATATCTATCATAATATTTTTGCCATTGTCTAATCTCATTACATACGTTAACCTTCTTCAGCAATATTTTTTCCCTTTTTTTTTAAGTGACAGAGTAATATGCATCTAGTTATTTGGCCAAACGTGATTCTATAACTTTTTCTGAAAAAAGTGACAGCATATCAATTTTTCACATTCTCCTTCATTAAACACCATGCATGCATCAATGTACTTAATTCAAAGTTTTCTTTTTCATATTTATTACCAGAAAACAGGGTTTGAGTATGTATCTTAATAATTCCAAAAATGCACAGGAATGCAATAACTTATTTGGCCAAAAGTGATGTTGTAACTTTTTTTGAAAAAAGTGACAGCATGTCAAATTTTCACTTTCTCCTTCATCAAATATCATGCATGCATCAATGTACTTAATTCGAAGTTTTCTTTTTCATATGATAAAGCGTGACTATTTTGGAAAAAAGTGATAGAATGCCACTTTTTTGAAGAAAAGTGACACAATGTCACTTTTTTTGAGAAAAAGTGATAGAATGTCACACTATCCATGAGCAAACACCTTACACGCATCCATGTAGTGGATTCAAAGTTTTTTTTCTCATATGTAGTACTAGAAAACAAGGTATGAATTGGTATGTTTAAATTTTCAGAAAAGCACACGTATACATCCGGTTAATTGCTCCAATGATAAAGTGTGACTGTTTTGGAAAAAGGTCATAGAATGTCACTTTTTCGTAAAAAGTGACACAATGTCACTTTTTTTTTAAGAAAAGTGACAGAATGTTGCCCTCTCCATGTGCAAACACATTGCATGCATTCATGTAATTGATTCAAAGTTTTCATTTTTCATATGTATTCTCAGATAATAGGGCATGAATTGGTATGTTTAAATTTTCAAAAAAGCACACGTATGCATCCGGTTAATTGTTCTAATGATAAAGGGCGACTATTCTTGTAGAAAGGTAACGAATGTCACTTTTTCGTTGAAAAGTGACACAATGTGACTTTTTTGAGAAAGGTGACGAATGTCACTCTGCATTATCAAATATCTTGCAAGCATCTATGTAGTCGATTCAAAGTTTTCTTTTTCATATGTATTACCAAAAAACAAGGTATGAATTGGTATATTCAAACTTTCAAAAAAGCAAATGTATGCATCCAATTAATTGCTCCAATGATAAATGGTGACTGTTTCGGAGAAATGTCACAAAATGTCACTTTTTCTAAGAAAAGTGACAGAAATCCAATTTCTCACCTTCTCCTAAGAGCAAACAGATTGCAAGCATCAATGAATTGATTCAAAGTTTTCTTTCTCATGTGTATTACCAAAAAATATGGCTTGAATATATACATTCAAATTTCTAAAAACTCACACATGCATATCTAGCTAATTGTTCAAGAGAGATACTGTGACTTTTTTTGAGAAAAGTGACAAAATGCCACTTTCTCACCTTCTTCTTTGAGCAAACATATTGCAAGCATCAATGTACTTGGTTTAAAGTTTTATTTCTAATGTGTATTAATAGAAAATAGAGTTTGAATATGTACGTTCAAATTTCCAAAAACTCACATATGCATACCTAGTTAATTGTTCAAAAGAGATGCTGTGACTTTTGTTTAGAAAGATGATAGAACTCCACTTTCTCCTTTGAGCAAACACAAAGTTTTCTCTCATGTGTATTACCAGAAAATAGAACTTGAATATGTATGTTCAAATTTCCAAAAACTCACATGTGCATACTTAGCTAATTGCTTAAAAGAAATGCTGTGACTTTTTTTTTTTTTTTAAAAGTGATAGAATGCCACTTTTTCACATTATCTTTTTGTCAAACACCTTACAATCATCAATGTAATTGATTCAAAACTAATTTGAATTGACACAATCCTCTCAACTTCAACAATTTTATTTTCATACATGTTTCCAATCAAATTTATAAAATCGTCAAAAAGAAACTTCATAAATGTTAATTCAAACAAAAATGAGATGGATAATAAGCTATAATCACGAAATCCAAAACATAGAAATACTTGTAATTTTGTTTGTGTTTTTGTGGAAGATCTCCTCGACTTTTTTTTTTTTTTTTTCAGATTTTCAATGTTTTTGTGGATGGTTTCCTCGATTTGAAGAATGAACAAACTTTGTTTATGTATTTGTGGAAGATTTCCTCTTTTTCATTTCAATTTTCCTTTGATTTTTGCATATTAGAGGTTGATTTATGAGGATTGTCGTGAGTTTAGATTTTGAGCGTATATTTTATGTTCAATTTTAAGTAATTACTATTTAATCCAAGTTTATAATGTTTTTTCAAAACAATCCAAAAATATAGGGTATTTTTGTAAGTACCCCATTAATAATTAGAAAAAAAAAGGTTCAAACCCAATTAGGACAACCCACTAAAATAGCCCAACATGCACAACCAAACAAAAACTAAACCTAGGGCCCGTTTGGTAGGGATTTTGAGAATTGATTTTTTGACCGTTAGAAGAAAAGTGGGGTCCACATGTGAGAGAAGAAGTCAAAAATTACGACTTGAATAGTAAAATAAGGATCAAAAAATCAATTTTTTGGGGCAAAAAATTCCTACCAAACAGGGCTCTAATTACCTCTCATATTCAAGTCGCCAGCAACCGCTTTGGTATTTTCTGGCTACTGCACAACCCAAATCAATCTTACCCGTTGACAGTAATTTAGCTGGATCCACTCCATTGTCCCTCCAACCTGTTTATTGTTTAGGTAAATAATGATTTCGTACTTTTCTATTTTATTTTCCTTTTTGGATGTTGCAATTTAAATGTGAATTATATTTGATTGTTTTACAAGTTTGTATTTTGATTTTGAATTTTGTTTAACATTATTTTAGAATTTAGGTTTTAATTCTTAGGTAGGCAATTTAAGAATATACTTAGATACGTTTGATTGCCAATATTTTTCATGGAAAATGTGTATTTTTTTACCCAAATTTCTACTTTTTTGTCGTTTGATTGACATCTTTTCATAAAAAAAATATTTTTCTACTTTTTGTACGTAATTATATTTTCCTCAAAATTCAGGAAAATATTCTCTAGGATTTTATTTTCCAAAGCATTTACTCTTTTTCTCTTTCTCATCTATGAATTCTCTCTCCTCTACCTATCAATAAAAAATAGACAACTATAATATTTTTTAAGTTGAAAATTAAATCAATCAAATACATTTAATTGACAATTTTCATGCTTCTTTCCATGCAATTCTATACTTACTATCAAATGCACCCTTAGGATTTTTGATTTATAATTTTGCTGAAATGTCCATCTTGTTGTTTTATACCATAACCTACTAATTAAAAGAAGGAAGAACTTTGCAAGGAACTATGGTAAGGTATGGAATAAATTACATCACTTTTAATATTGTTTTGTTATTACATTCTTTTCTTATTTTTAGTTGGCTCCACCCATGGCCGTGAGCTTTAATTAATGAGATGATATCTTAATTTTTTGCTGGATATTATATTAAGTGATCTGTTATTTTTCTTAGTGTTGCAAAACATACAAACTACTTATTTCCTTTTAATATGAAAAACATTCATTGGTAAATATATGGTAGGAGACCACAAACAGGCATAAGATTTAAACTGCTAGGTCGAAAACAAAAAGAATAAGAGAATGGTCATTCAAGACTTAAGCCCCTATGATCTCATAACTATATGGCTTCTTTTGATGCATTTTGCCCCTTGAAGTTCATAGGTGGTAAGGGCTACAGTCGCGAGGGGAAAGAAAAAATGCTAGCAAACAATTTCAAGAATTTTTAACTTGTTAATATTTCATGTTATTCCACCTTTATTGTCGTTTTCGGGCACTATTCTCTCGTACTTCTATTGTTTATGCCCCTGTTTGATTAACATTAAATTAAATTACATTACATTCTATTTTTCTCTCTCCTATTTTCAACCATACAATCTTCTATAAAATAATATTACACGTAAATCGAAAACTTTACATTCTTTTTCAACCACTCATTTTTCTAAAAAATACTATTCCCCCCATTACCATTTTCAGGTAATGGGGGCCAAACAGGGTCATATCATCTTCTTTTTGCTATCTCCTCTATGCTGCAGGGCTATTTTATTTGGAATAAGGTCTACCTTCATTGGTTGTTATGAATCCTACTTAAATAATTAATTCTAAACTCTATACTGTTGTTTATGCCATTTTGTATTTATAAATTAAGGTTAAATTATTTTTATACATGTTTCTTGATATATTTTACAGTGATCCTCCATGACAATACACATCCATTTATATCCTGAGTTGTTATTCTTCCTACAAACGATTCACTAAAATGGTGGCATTGTGTTTTTCTTCAACAATAGATTTTGAAAAATATGACATCCGGAGTTGGATCTATTATGAATTTCGCTGTTCAACGTGCCATTTGTTCAAAATGGAGGCTCATTCCCTCAGAGGAAAAGTATATGGAATTTCGGGAACACATCCATAAGCGTCGCTTCATTTGTTAAAAAGCCAGGGAATGGCATCCTCGTATATCGTGTAATGATTTAGCGGATCTTGCAAAAGATGGAAGTTGGCGCTGGGCAATTGACAAACCCAGCATTCTGCAACCCCCTCCTGGTTGGGAAAGGAAAGTGAAAATCCGATGCTTTGGAAGCACTAAATATGCGGATGTGTAAGCACCCTAATTGTTTTTCTCTCTTTCTGTATGTTTATGAAACAACTGTTTTAGTTTTTACATTGCAGCTGACATGAATTTTGCCTTTCCACGATTTTTCACAGGTATTATGAAGCACCAACAAAAAAGCAACTGAGGTCTTTGGTAGATGTTCACAAGTACAATTCTGCACTATTTTGAAACTACTGTTTGTCTTTCACTTTTATTCCTTAAAGCCTAAATAGTTTATACCTTTCTTTGTCTGCGAGTCTTCTGATTCTTCTTTTTCGAGTTATCTGGATGCACATCCACGACATGTAGAAGGTGTCAACATGTCGCAATTTTCTTTTGAGACTTTGGTCGTCAAAGGAATAATATAAAGGGGTAAAACTTTTCCTTTCTTTCCTTGTCAGTCACATTGTAACAAGGATTTTTAGACTATGTTTGAGCCCGATTTTTGGTTAAAAATAAGTTTTGTAATAGTGATTTTTTTGGGGAGATTGTGTGATTGAAAATAAGTTTAAGAAAAAATGAATTTTTTTACAATGGAGCTCAAACAGGGCTTCAGTGTCATTTTATTACAAGGATAAACAACTCAAGAAGCAATATGATCTCGGTAGTATTGTAACCCATCGGACCAAGGCACAATTTATTTTATGTCCAAAGGAAACCTCCTCTATAATGACATAAAATCCTGAATTTCAATTCCATATATCATGAGCTAACTGCTACAGATTAAGATATCCAAACAATAAAATTGAATGTTTTTGGTAAAGAGTTTCCCTTATGATAATAAAATTAGTGGCTGGAAGGGTTGGTCATGCCAATGATATAATTAGTGCTTGTTTGAGTTCCATTATAAGTTGCTGAAATTATAATGTGATAGAAATTAGTGGTGAATAATTGGGTAGTAGCTGTAGATCCTAAGAAATGTGTAGTTAAAATTAATGTTATAAAGTCTGATAATGCTGTAAATATTGACAGCATTACATTGTCTCAATTTATTTAGAAGAAAGCATGGTGAATCTTTGTTCATTATTTCAATGTGGATATTTGGTGTGGAAACAAGAGAACTGTAACATTGTTGTTTCTATTCATCTAAATGTTAATCCAATCCTAAACATCTAAAGAGAAAGTTCCTTAGTTTTGATTAGCATATTTATTTTCAAATTCTACACATTCATAATTTATAGTTCAAAATACCTTTTATATAGTATAATGAATTAGGGACTATATTTGGATTTTCATTTAAAATTTGACTTGTAGGACCAATGCGACCAAAGGGATGTCTTCAATGTTGGTAGTGAAGACACACAAGTGTTTCTAATGAGCTATGAAGAAGATCAACGTGGCAATATCAACACACCATGTTTTCATACCCTTGTTATTTCTTCAACTAGGGCTTTTTTTACTTTTAAAGTCTGTAATGAGGGAAAAACTTGAACTAGAATAGGGGGCTGTTTTTTTGTTCGTGTAAAAATAGTGTATGAACTTGAAAGTTGCTTGCTATTTGATTCTGTCCTGTTAACCTTGGTTAAATTACTGGGAATTGTGGAATAGTGGTTGCCACATATCAACTTTAGGTATTCCCACACCCCATTTGCCGTTACCCTTCCCTCCCTTTTGAGTATGTATACTAAAGCCTTTTCTAGTTTATAAGCTGGTAAACATTATTTTTATTTATATATTCAGTAGGATCCACAGTTTATAATCTACAAAAACCTTTACCAAATATAAACTTCCCCCATTGCTCCCTTTCACCCTCCCCTTGCCTCCCACCATTGTCCCCTTTCCCTTAACTCAAACGTTCTCCTAAGCAGGGGTGAAAGGAGCAGAGGAGAGATAGCGAGGCAGCAAAGAATGCAAGGATGGTAGAAGCCCGAAATGAGGGGCTAGGCATGCAAAGAGTCGGGATTGGGGGGGAGGCAATGAAATAAAAAAGATCCTAGTACCTTTTCAATTTCTTGTGAACTATTCCCAAATGATGTTTGAATATTAGTTCCCAAGTTTTATTCTAGCAAAGTCCTATGTTTCACAACTCTCATTGACAGAGAGTGATGCACTGAAGTTAATTCCTAGCTTGAAATCTTATTTTAGCTTGTCATGATATGTCTCAGTTATATTTGATATTGTAGCAGTATTAAAGTATTAAAGATGTAACTAGTGGTATGTGTCATTTTGTTCCTCGTTTTGGGAAAAAATTGGCCCATTGGATTGCTTCTTTTGTTGCACTAGACCTAGTTTATATATATGCACGGTTTGTTGTACTTCGGTATTTATCTTTAGAGAAGTTTGTGACGATTTGATTTAGGGCAAGTAATTGTTGTATTGGAAGAAAAAATGTCCCAAGTTTTATAGATTCAAATATTCAAGTAACCATTCCATGTAAAACAAATGGTACTACATTTGTTAACTTTGTTTTGCTACATTGCCACCTGGTATTTTGTCATTCGCTTGTTTGAGAAATACTATAATTTCTGCACCAATGAAAACTCTCGTCAACACCACTTCTGTCAAAAGGATGGGCACCAAATTTTGACAAAACAGATTAATTCTTGTTTACTTGATATTGGTACCAAGTGATTTATATGCTAAAATCGTGTTCGGTATGCTATATTCAATAAATTCATTAATTTAAAAGATTGTGTTACACATGTTGTGTTAGAAGATGTAACTTGTAGTATGTGTCATTTTGTTCCTCGTTTTGGGGGAAAAAGTGATTTACATACTAAGATTGTGTTTCGTATTTTGTATTACAAATGTGATGCCAATGAACAACTTGTTTGCATCCCAACCTTTATGGGACGTGAAATGTATAAGAGATATTAATGAAAAGTTTTCTTATTCATATTCTGTTGGAATACACCGTAATATAGTACACGAGTGTGACTAAAGATGGAATAATGGAATATACAATGATGGAAAGATTATATATCAACTATTATTCTATACATAGCAGATTGAGTGACAATTAATAGAATTCATGATTGACAGTAATTGCAACTGGAGAATCAATCAACCAGGTTCCCTTAGACGACCCCTCAAAATTAATGATCCATCAGCAACATTAATTTTGCTATGTAACAGATGAAAGCGAGACCAGGCAAGAGGCTTTGTCAGCAGATCAGCAAGTTGGTCGTCCGTGTGAACGTGAGAAACACGTAGTCGACCTCGGCGAACATAGTCACGGACAAAATGAAGATCAATGGCAATGTGTTTCATCCTCGAATGCGTGTTTCATCCTGGAATGCATGACAGGATTGAGGCTAAGCTGCGTGGCACCAACATTGTCACAAAGAAGTAAAGGGGGCTCACGGAGCTTAAGACCAAGTTCATCAAGCAAGGATTGAATCCAAGCAATGTCCGACTTTGCAGTGGTGAGGGCTCGATATTCAGCCTCTATGGAGGAACGAGCCACCGCTTTCTGCTTCCGAGTGCACCAGTTGATAGGATTATTGCCCAGAAAAATAATATAAGCGGTTGTAGACTTGCAATCATCAAGATCACCTCCCCAGTCAGCATCGGAAAAACCTCGAAGAATAGGATTTATTTGATTACAAAGAAGAAGGCCGAAGTGAATTGTTTGCTTGATGTAGCGCAAAAGACGTTTAACATGCTGCCAATGAGAAACCGTTGGTCTGAGCATAAATTGAGCAAGCCGATTAACTGTAAAACTGATATCCGGGCGGGTTAAAGACAAATATTGCAAGGAGCCAATGGTGCGGCGATATTCTGTTGCATCACAGCCTGTAGTGCCATCATCAAGAAGAAGTTTAGCTGTTGTAGACAAAGGAGTTTGAACCTCCTTTGCACCAGTCATCTTCAACCTGGTGAGAATGTCATGGACATAGCGATTCTGAGAGAGGAATAACCCTTCTTTAACTGGAATGACTTCCACTCCAAGAAAGAAATGTAGATCACACAACTCCTTGAGAGAAAACCTGTTGCTCAAAGATTTAACAACATGCTGGAAAAATTGATTGTCATTTCCTGTAAGAATTAAATCATCAACATAGACAAGAATGTAGAAGAGAATTCCATCACGGTTAAATATGCAAAGAGAGCTATCAGACATGGAATTAAAGAACCCCAACTCCAATAAGTTGGATCGCAATGCATCATACCAAGCCCTAAGGGCTTGCTTCAAACCATAAATTTGATTTTTGAAGAGCATAAACATGATCAGGATGAGATTGATTAATAAAACCAGGAGGTTGCAACATGAACACTTTCTCAGTTAGTTGGCCATGAAGAAAGGCATTGTTGACGTCGATCTGCTTCAATGGCCAATTGTTGGATAGTGCAAGTGATAGTATCAGCCGAATAGTGGTAGGTTTGACCACTGGACTAAAGGTTTCTGTATAATCAACACCAGGACGCTGATTGAAGCCCTTTCCTACAAGCCGTGCTTTAAATCTATCCAGCATACCATCAGAATTATGCTTAACCCTGAAAACCCACTTATATCCAACTAAATTAGAGTTAAGAGGTTTAGGAACAAGATTCCAAGTGCCATGGGACACTAAGCCAGTAAACTCATCAGCCATAGCCTTACGCCATTGAGGGTCCTTTAAGGCTTGAGTCACACACGATGGTTCTAAAGGTGGGGAAATAGGGTGCTTTGTGGTGACAGAAAGCTGCTTAGGATGAAAAATATTATTTTGGGCACGAGTGACCATATGGTGAGTGCGAGCAGGTGGCACATTTAGGGGAGGAGTAGTGCTAGGTGATGAAATAGACGGGGCACTACAAGTGGGTTCAGAGATCATACCTTGACAATCTGATGATAACGGGACAGTGGGTGCAGCATACGTGGTAGATGTGCAGGCAGGATTTGTCGAGGCAACAACCCGAATAGGAGGAACTGGTGTGATCAAGGTAGGTGAGTGATGCACAGGAGAAAAAGGAGAGACATTCAACTTACTGCCAAATGATGAATTTCTAAAAGGAAATAACGTTTCATCCAAGGTGACATGGCGAGAGAGACGTAGCCGACCCGTGGACAAGTCCACACATTTGAAGCCATTTTGAGTTAGAGAATAGCCTAGAAAAATGCAGGGGCTAGACTTGGGTTGCAGCTTGTTTGTACGGTAAGGGACTAACCAAGGATAGCATTGGCAGCTGAATGTGTGCAACTTGTGGTAGTCAGGAATCCGTCCAAATAAAGCTTCAAATGGACTTTTACGAGTGATTAAATGGGTGGGAAGACGATTAATAAGATAGACAGCCGTGTCTAAAGCATAAGTTCAGTAATTGGAGGGAACCGAGGCATGGTGTAAGAGAGTCAAACCAGTTTCTACGATGTGATGGTGACGACGCTCAACGGTGCCATTTTGTTGGGGGGTATGAGAAGCCGTGGTATAATGGCTAATACCA